CTCCGTGGCCATCTATCAGGCTGCAAGAGCCAAGGCATGTCATCCTGACCTTCCCAGCCTCATCCTGCCTTCTTTCCTCTTTCCCTCTGCAATGGACAGGTGGGAGCATGGAGATGTGCTTGGCTCCTGCATGGGTGCTCATCCAAGATGAAAACCTAATGAGCTGTGCTGACCTGCAGGCCAAGGACAAAGGCGAGGAGGAGAGCCCCTGCTCTGCTGGGTCTGCCAAGCCCTCAAGAACAGTGGTTCCCAGGGCTACATTTGTGCAGGGCTCAGCAGGGCTGGGCTGGAGGCTGCATGTACTGCAGTGCCTGCCTGGTGGGATGTGCTTTAGGGACTTCAGCTAGGAAGTGCGATGCCTCTGTCGCTGATGTGTGGGGGTAGAAACGTGGGGCAATGACATGCTGGGTAGAGGCTGTGGTGCAGGGCAGGGAGCAGGCTTCTCTGAGGATGGGGGAAGCAGAGGGACTGCCATTCCTCACTCCCCATTTCCTGCTGCTCATAGAGAAGGGGATGGAGCCCAGTATTGCTGAATAAGAGCCAAAGATGTCTTTTGGCAAGTCTTTCTATGCTGTCCTTGCTGTTTTGGGGAAGTCAGCATTAAATGTGGAAAGTGCAGGAGAGGAACCCTCTGAGGCTTGCGTGGGACCTAGTTCAGTGTCCTGCTCTTACTGCATCTTTGGACCTGCTGTGTGCTGTGATGGGAAGCCATGCTCATGGTTAGGAAAGCACTTGGATGCCTTGGGCTGGTTCCCACCACCCCAGCCCTCGCAATGGTTTCCTACCAACTCCCAGGGCCCTGGCTGTCTTGATGAGCCAGAGCTCGTGCTGATGTTAGCATCACAGCCCAGGCAGGGCTAAGCTCGCAGCGTCCTACAGCCTGCGAGGGGAAGGAGGGACCAAGAAAGGCACCTTTGACTGTGTCCCACTCCCAGTACAGCAGAGCCTGCACGATCACAGGGGCTCTCTTACCTGCTGTGGCAGCATAGGTATAAGGAGGCACCCAGAGCTCTTCCCCAGAGGCAGGCAGTGGTATCTGAACAGAAAGCTTTGAAAAAACATCTCTGCTGTGGGTGGAGGCAGGGCATCACGTGTGTGCTTGGGGAGGGGGCCAGCAGTTGCTGGATGAGTACCCTTTTTCCTCCTGCACTGCTGGAGGGAATTTCCTTTCCGTAATTGGAGGGAATTTCCTTTCCGTAATTGGGAACTATGCTACTGTGCTTGTTGTGAGTGCCATCTTCCCTGCCTGTGCTTTGCCTAAAACACTGCACCCGACGTTGGCTGCCTCCAGGACCAACCCTGCACCTTGCAGCACAAGACACATTGCTGTGTTCCCTGCCAGGTCAAGGGTCCCCTGGAGTGGCCATGAGGACCAAGGTGCAAACTGAGTGTGAGGACAGAGGTTATTGACGGGCCCATGGGTTGCGCTGTGCCTGGCAAGACCAGCCAGCCTCCTGCCCAGCAGATAGGCTCCTGGGGAAGACCTTTCAGGTGAAGGATGCTAGGTAGGCACTATCAATTAAACCTGCAGAGATGGTCACTGAGCTTTTCCTTAGTTGCCTAATTTGTGTTGTAACCCCACAAGAAGCTGGGCACCTTAGTGGGTCTGACCTCAAGCAATGTGATGGCAGGTCGCCTCTACGCTGCTGCTGGGTCTGCCTGCATCTGGGGGAGCTGGAAGGGCAGAAGTGCTCAGGACATCCCTGCAAGCTCTCCCAGCCTTCTCATGCACCTGAAGCACCTCTGTCTCCATGGGGAGCCCCTTCTTGTGCTCACCAGCCGGGCAGGTGATTGCATACCCTAGGGAAGGTGTTGACTGTCTGACTGGGCTGATGAAAAGGCAATGTAGCCCTTGGGCATATGCTGCAGCTTTTGCATTACTGGGTGTTCTGGCCATGTTACTGGAGAGACTGGGAAGGCTTATCCCCAGTCCCTTCCAGTCCATCTTCTAGGCTTTAGAAAAACAAATACATCTCTGGGACCTCTCTCTGTGAAATGTGGCTTAAATTACCCATAGGCTTGCAAAGTTTGTCTTGAACACATAATGGTTTGTATAAGTCATGATTATGATAGGGTCATGGGCGATGTGAGCATACGAGCCTCTTTTCTTTTAAAAGATGACTGGGAAATGGGGCTATAAAAATATGCAGGAGTGAGGTAAACAGTTTGGTCTCTGCACAGGAAAATCATATTCTTTGATCTGTTTCAAGTCTTTTAGTACTTGAGTAAAATAATAGATAATACTTGGCCAGCTTGTGTGATTTGTTTGGATGGTCAGAAAACCTCTGCAATTCCACAGAAAACGCTTAAGAAAACTGTCTACTGGAGGAGACTGGGCTGGAGTCCTGGATCAAAAACTGGCCAAGGGTCCACAAACAAAGCATAGAAGTGAATGAGCAATTTCAGTGTGATGAGCAGAGGGGTGAGGTCCTTTGCTATTAATGACCCAGAAAAGATGATGTGTAACGAGGTACCCAAAACCTCCAGATATCCTGGAGTTGTTCAGATCTGTCAAGATAAAGCGAATCTAAAGTGACACTGTGTGAAGCGAAGTGGTGTAAGGTGAGGAGAAAGCGAGTACCAAGAAGCATGTAGCCCAGTGTATTGGAAGGAATGATTGGTTCTGGGACGTGGCTGGCTTCTAAATTACTCAGGGCAGTATCGTTGCAGGCCAGTTACCGAGATGCTTTTCCTTAATATGCAAGGATGCTGTCAGAGAAGTAAATCAAGCTCAGCCGCACAAGGAGTAGTGTAAGGAGAGATGCTGAGAGCGTCAGGATGTTGTTCTGGCAGTCAAGGTCATTTCCCTACCCAGGATATCATATGTGGTTCTGGTCACCGTTCTGTGGGGTCAAAAGAGAGGATATATTGGGGATGTGCAGTGAGAGTGGTTGGACCTGGAAGACACCTTGTGTCGTGGGAAGGACAGGGCACTTCACAGTAGTGAGCTTAGGTCTCAAAAAAGCAAAGGCTTTTATTCTCTACCTTTTCTCATTATGCAAGGAGAACTGAAGGCTGTGGAGTTGCAGTGGGATAGTAATCTTTTACTCAATACCTGGACTTGTTGTTGCAAGATACCATTTACAACCTAAAAGTTTACGAGATTCCCAAAAAGAGGAATGAGAGGTATTTCTCTTTGCATTGAGTCCATTTAGGCTGGCACTTTGTAGGTAAAAACAGAGGGCTGTAACCATTTATGCTCAAAAGTGTGTGACTTTCCTTTGGTGAGTCTTATCCCATAATTTCTTCCCATCCCTTCTCTGGAGCTTCCGAGTCTCCTCTTAATTCAGTCAGGGTGAATTATCCAACTGTGTTCCCAACTGTGATCTTGTGGCTTGGTGTTCTTCTCCTGCTTTTCTGCTTCCGTTTTCTGCTCCTGGCAGCCCTGCTCCAGCTCTATACCTGTGAATATCTCTTAACAGGCTGCTTGGTGGCTTTTCCAATTTGGCTGACCCTCTCAATGCCTGTACCCAGCTGGGCTTTTGCTTGTCACAGTGCAGTCTGTCATCGGTGCTTCAGCTGGTTTGCAGCTGTGCATCTGTACCAGCTGAGCTGGGAAAGATCACTTTGAAGCTGAGTTCTCTAGGACACTGTAGCAAATGGTTTTGTGGTCATTATCCAGCCAGCATTGTGCTGTGATGCTGATAAATCTCTGCAGGCAGGTGGGAGATTGCCAGGATATACCCGTGAGCTGGAAGGGAAGAGCCCTGCGCCCTCTCTGCTAATGTCACTGTCCAACGTGGAGCTAGAAGGGCAGGGCTGGTGGCAGGGGGCATCTCTAGGACAAGAGGCCAAAACCAGCACAGGGCAGCGATGGTGGCTTTCTTGTGTTTTGGGCAAGTGGTTGCTCTTTTGCCCAGCCCACCAGGACATCTGGGCTTGGGTAGGCAGCCCCTGAGCATTGCCCAGCAGCGATGCTGTGCCAGCCAGCCCTTCTGCATGGTATGCAGTGGTAGTAAAGGATTTGGGTTCTGGTTGGTGAGTGCTAGATAAGAGGGGTGGTTCAGGGAATGGCAGCCTGGGTAGATATTCCCATCTATTATTGCTGCTTCCTTCTGCAGCTGATGGGGTTTTCTCTCCCCTGTTTCATGAAGTGGTTGTGTTCTTGCTGTTGATTTGTTGTTTCCAGACAATCCCAGTGATGCTCAATTTGCATTTATCCATTGCTGGCATGGTCTTCTCTGTTTCCTATGGAGCTGCTCTGCACAGGAGGAAGATCTCCCCGTGTCCAAGCAGTTATGCTGCAGTGATGCTGACCCAAACCCAGCTGTGGGTCTTGTAGCAATTTGGGGAGGGCACTGAAATAAATATTTGACCAGCTAAATAGTAGAGCCTAAGCCTCCTCTCTGCCCTCTGTGTGATTGCATCTAAATGCATCCAAGTCAGAGGAAGGAAAGGAAACAAGCAGGGGGTGTAACCAGCCCCTGATGGGTGCCCTGGGAGCTGGGGGCTGAGGCCTGCAGTGAGCGGAGGGTGGTGATTCAGGCTAGTAAAGCTAATGGCACGCCGCCAGGCAAAGGAAATTGTGGGATCATGATGCAGCAACTATCCCGTAGCAGTTTGTTTCTATCATCCAGGCGTGACTTCATGCCCCCACCACCCCACCCTTTTGTTCTTTCCTGTACCTAAATGTTCTCCCTGTGGAGGGGAAGGGACTGAGACACAGTTTCCTTGGGAAAAGGAGTAGTCCATGAGAAGGAGGTGCACCTAAATGGTGGGAGAGTGGGGGAACAAGGAAGGAGGCTCTGGGGCTGTGCATGGTGGGACCTCAGCTGCTGAAGCACCCAGGCTCTTCCAGCACCCCCCCAAACTCAGCAGGCTTCTCCAGATGACCTTGTCCATGGACACTGGTTCCCAGGGAAATCCTGTAGCGCAGAGGAGCCTAAGATAGTGGGTGAGGTTGGTCCCTAACTCTAACAGGGCTATGCTGTCGTCTAGCTGGTGTGTGTCTAACCAGACCTTTCTCCCCTTTCCCTAGGGAAGACGATGAAGCTGTAGAGATGCTTCCCTACGTGATTGCCACCCTGGGCTCGGCAGGGGCCACCTGCAAAGCCTCCACATGCAACAACAGCACCAAGGACTACTGCTACAGTGCCCGCATCCGCAGCACTGTGCTGCAGGGGCTGCCCTTCGGTGGGGTACCCACTGTCCTAGCCCTCGACTTTATGTGCTTTCTCGTAAGTCTGCCTACTGTTGCTTCAGCACCTTCTCCCCTAATTAGCCATGAAGGGAGGACTGTGGTTGGGTGGTTACAGTTGAGGGCCCCAAATGCTATCCCAGGCTTTGTTGCTGGCTGACTTTACAGCCCTGATCATGTCCCTTAGCCACCATTGACTTAACTCCAGTATCACCACATTGAGCCCATGGAAAGGAGTTGTAAATTTTCCTAAGAAGGTGGGTCAGGTTAGATCAGTCCTGCATCCCAAAACTCCAGTCCCTGGAGCTTTACCCACCTAGCTTTACCCACTTGTTCCTCCTTAGGAACTGCAGGACCACAGATGTTGTAGCTATAACCTTGCTTCCTTGGGACCTGAGGGCCTTTTGATCCTGTGGCTAAATTAGCTACTGTGCGTTGCATCCTGGACCTCTGCCTCTACAGCCATCCAGATAGTCTGGTTTTAACAACCCTGGGGAACTTGTGCTGTCCAGTGGCCTCAGTGTGCTGTTAGCTGAGGAGTCCTGTCCCTTCCTACCCTCCCTGTTCCTGTGGCTCTGCATGCAGCAGATGAGGACAGAGCTGGACAATGCATCATCTCACAGCTCCCCTTTGCTTTCTTCCAGGCGCTGCTGTTTGTCTTTTCAATTTTGCGTAAAGTTGCTTGGGACTACGGACGCCTGGCCCTGGTGACTGATGCTGACAGGTAAGCATGGGAGAGGGCCACAGAAACAAGGCATGAGTGGTACCCTCCTCTGCTGTGGGGCAGAAGGGATAAATCCTCTTGCGTGTGCCAGAGGCAGCTGGGGAGGAGTGCCAAGCGTGCCACTTGTCTCCTGAGCTCCAGGAACAGGAAAAATACCTGCTTACCAGCTTTTTTGTTACAGCATCCTTCTCGCAATGCAGGGAGTGGTCCCTGCTGGCTCCATATCACCTATGGTCCCTACAGTCACAGAGGTGTGCAGGGGTCCTTACAAAGGAACAGCAGGTGGAGGTGAGGGAGGAAAGAGGAAAAGAGGTCACCGGAAGGGTGAGGGCTGCCACAGTGAAGGCTTTGTTAAGCCTCTGAAAGCGTCTTCATGGCTCTGCTGGATGCAGTTCTTAAGAGCACTTGAAAAGCAGTAGGCTGTGTTTCCAGGTGTGGTACTGCAGTGCTAATACGAGTTTAGCTCTCCTCCCAAGTGCTGATGAGTCCCTCTGGATCCTTCCTGCCCAATGCATTCATGGGCTACAGTGTCTGTCAGCAAAAGCTGGGGCCTGTTGGGGTTGGTAGCCCCACAGAACAGTGAGATGCTGTTCTTGGTTTTGCTGTCAGCAGCAGGAAGGACAACTATTATTTTCTTCCAGTGCAGGATGAGGAACTCTCTTTGGTTAAGCTAGAGTGGTTGTGCAGGTAGTCTGCCTCTCTCCAGAGGTGGTTTGCTGTGCCCATTGTGCTTTGTCACGATGCTGGAGGCAAAGTGTGGCTTCTGAAGGATGGCTGTGGTAGGTTCTTCCTCTGGATCAGCTTCATGAGTTCATCGTGCCCAAAGGCTCGGATGGGGCTGAGCTCCAGCCTCTGGTTCCTTTTGGCAATACAGATTCAAGCACGCAACTCTTGAGTGTTCCCTGCACAGCAGTGGGAAGAGTAAGAGTTGTTTTCTTCAAGCACCAAACCAGGAACTCTCCTGGTTTAGATAAGCAGTCCTGGATAGTGTTAGATAAGCAGCTGTGTCCCTGTGGCTCCTCTGCCCTTCCTTTCCTGGCCTGGTAGGGGAAATCAGCAATGCAGGGGCATTGGGGGGAAGCAAGGAGAAGGGAATAGCTGTATGGGACTTCACTGGGGAGAGGGGAGCAGCCCCTTGGGGTTAAGCTGCCTGGACCCAAGCACTGGCTGGTAGCCACAGGGGCTGCACAGCTCTGGCCTTCAGTGGGGAGAGAAGACTGGCCCTTCTTGGAGGCCATGCTTGAGCACCTTGGATGCAAGGCAGTGGGAGCAGTGGCTGTAGGCAGAAAGGCAGAGGGTTGCCAGCTGTTTGTTGAGGGAAGGCTGATAAGTGCAGGGAGAGGGACAGCATGGCTGTGATAAGGACTGTGGATCAGCAGGACCAGGATCCCAGGGAGGAGCCCCTGCTGCTTGGCCCATCTGTGGGCTGGGATGAACGTTTCGGGAGGGTGGGATGCAAGTGTGTTGGCTGCCTGGGTGAGGAGGGGAGGCATGGAAGGGGAGCTTGGATGCCAGATGGGCAGCCCTGGCAGGCTGTCCTGCCTGGTCTCATCCCTCAGGAGCTCCCTGGGACACCCATGGTGTGTAGCCTGACCACCTTCCCAGAAAGCCAGTTTCCTCTTAGCTGGCAGCAAAGTGCTCTGCTCCTGGGCCAGCAAGGGCTCCAGGGTATTGTGGCTTGGGGCAGCACTGGGATGTGGAAGGGGTCTCTCCAGCGTGACCAGTGGCGGGTTTCTCTTCTTCAGGATGGTGTGGAGCCCTGTTGGGTGTGTAACTTGCCATGACAGAGGAGACCCAGCGCCTGTTCCCATGGTTGTAACCTTTCCTTTTCTGTTTCTATGCCCCCAGGCGCCGACGCTGGCAGACGGAGCGAGAGGAGCGGGAATAGTATGTCATTTTTTCAGGGTCTCGTTTCTTCTCCTTCTTGCTCACGCGCTCTCTCTTTTTCCTTTTCTCTTACAGTTTTCTGTCTCGCTTCTGAACTAATCTCAGTGGCTGGGAGTTCAGGCTTGGATTTGTGCTTCTCGGTGGATTCATGCTCTTCTCTTTCCCCCCCCTTTGTGTCAGCCACTACCACAGCTGGATGCACCCTGGTTTTCCCCTAGTGACCCTTAAACACTCCCTGAGGGCATCGGTGCCGAGCACCTCCCAGTCCCAGCCGAGGCAGAGGGTGCCACATCTCATACCCTGCTCTACCTGCCCATGTCCAGCTATCCTACCATATGTTGGAGAAAATAAGCCTAGTTGCCTGTGCTCACAGCACACTCAGGTCACCCAGGTACAGGGAAGCCGCCTTTATGTGATTTGTCTTGTGCCAGGGTGCCACAAGGGCTGCTCCCATACCAGGTGCAAGGGCAGGCGGGTGCATGGAGAGGATCTGGCAAATGATTGCAAGACTCTTCTCTCTTTCCTTCACCCCTTGAGGCTGCCAGGACCAGGGCAAGTGTTGGCCCTTGTCCCTTGCTGCCTACTCCTGGCTGGCAGCACGCCCAGCAAGGCAGCACCTTTGTCCTTTCTCTCTTCCCCTGCAGAAGCAAACTTCCTGCCTCAGCACTGCTGAGAGCATCCTTCGGCACCTTGGCCAGGTGTTGCCCATTAAGCACTGTCATGGACCCTCCCTTTCTGCTCTTTTCTCTTTCTTGCTGCTTTTATGCCTAAGAAAAGAGCATCCCCTATGCCTTGCCAACTGGCTGGGTGATGTACACTGCAGAGGATACAATGAGCTGGTGGTGCAGAGCCTGTGATGGTCACTCCAGCCAGGCTAACACACATCTGAGGCCGGGGCAGCAAGCTGCAGCCTTGCTTCTCAAACTCCATCACTTGCAAAGCGGGAGCCTGCTACTGCCTTGAGAGGGTATAGGGATGCTCCCATTTTTGTGGTTGCACCTTGCCCCCAAAGGAGGAGAGCAATTGGAGTTGTGAAAAGAGGTGGTGGTAGCTGTGGTGTATGGCACAGAGGGGACCTCTTGCTCATGCTTCAGTAGTGGTTGGTCCTGCTTCAGGTGTGTCTTGCTGCACCTTTTGGGGGGAGTAAGGCAGACATAGCAGAGCTGTCATGCTCTGAGGCTTTTCAGAGGGGTCACCTTGGTTATCCTCATGAGTGCTTGTCTCTCTCCAGGGGGCTGCTTCTTCTTACTCCCACTCTTCATCTGGGCTTGCTGGAGCTCTCTGCTGACACACCCCCCCACCCCACCCCAGACCTACTGCTTGAGCTGGGACAGGGTTGGTAGCCAGAAACACTCAAAGTCTGTGGATCTCAGGAAGGAAACGTCCTGGCTGTGGTTCTGCAAGGCTGGTGGCACCTTCCCATCCCAGCTGTTGTCTGTGCTGGGGTACAGTGGCAGGTGATGGGTCATGGACACACGTGTGCTGCCTGGTGCTCCCAGCCCTTGAATGTGCAGCATCGCTCTTGGTGCAGGAGGGCATCCTCCTCTGACATGTCACTTTCCCTGAGAACTGGCAAGTGCCTTTGTCCTGCCCCTTGCAGGGCTTGTGGCAGCCATCGGCACTCTTGATTGGTGACTCAGTCTGCACTGGGAAGTTGTGGCAACCTCCCACACCTCTGTGTAAGGGCAGTGATCACAGAGCCCTGCAGGGCTTGCCACCCACACAGCCATCTCCTGCCTCACATCACAGCATGCCCCTTCCGCAGCAAGCCTGGCCTCCCCTCCCGGAGCCTGTGATTCCCTTGGCCTGAGGCTAGCCATGCCTCTGACCCCATCCTTTTCCCTCCCTGGCAAGGCCAGCACCAAATCTGGAGCAGCAGGCATGGAGAAGGCCTCTTGGGTCCCATCTTTAATCTTGTGGTTTAGGGCAACCTTGCCTCCACCCACTTGCTCTGTTAGTGCTTTGCTTTAAAAAAGCCTCCAGCTAGGTGCAGGTACCGTTACAGCTCCCTCTTCAGCTTCTCATCTTTGGCAAGGTTTGGCCACCTCTGTCTTCTCAGCACTGCTGGTCATCCTGATTATCATCTCTGCATCCTGATGAATAGAGCTGAGTTAGCCTGGTCATCTCAGCATGGCATTCAGTTGTCCCTTCAGTGCTGCTCTGCTCTCTGCTTTTCCAGTACCACAGAGCCAAAAGCACACCGTGTCATTGTGCTGGGCTCTCCTCGGAGCTGCGAACAGCAGAAATTCACCCTCACTCCCTACGCCCCAGCTGCAAGGCCTCTGTGGTTTTAAAGGGCTGAAGGTCTGAGAGCTTGGTCAAAGCTTGCTCTGTCCTTCCAGCAGAGCAGGGTGCTGGGCTTCACAGTCACAAGGCTGCACACCGCTGTCTAACCTGCACTCTTGTAGTCCCATGACCTTCAGCTAATCTCCTTTCCTCTGTCCGTTGCTTCCAGCTAGGGACTCAGCAGGTGCTGCTCTGCTCTGGGGGAGGCCCTGTGTCTCATCCACCTTCCTTCAGCAGGGCCACAAGAGTCTTCGCTTGTTCTCCTTCCCATAGTGTCATCCACTCATCTTTAGCACATCTCTCAGCTGCTGCTTCTCGGGGTTCTTGTCCATCTGATTCTCCTTGAGCCTGTACCGGTTACAGGGAGACCATGTTTTCATCTGTTTTTTTCCTTTGCTTCTAGCCTTCAGATCAGCCATATCTCTTCTTGCACCTCTGAGGTCCTGATCTGCTGTTGTCGTCTTGCAAGTGCTATTTAATTTAGGTCTCTGGACCTTTTTCTTGTCTCCTTTGCTAGCCACCCTCTACCTGCGTTCATAGTGGGAGCTGTTGTCTGCCTTGGATGCTTCTGCTGCAGGTTCTTCATCTAGGTACCTGCCCACACCTGGAGTAAAGCAGTCTGGGATATTCATGTCTCTTGCTTTCCTGTCCTTTAGCCTGCAGTCATTCACTTCTAGCTGCCTGCCCTGCTCCTGCTGGAGGGATTTCCAGGTGGGAGGTACAGCTGAGGTTGTGGAGCAGGCTGAACTGAGCCTGGCTCCAGGCAGCATGGCTGCTGGGGCTCAGCTGCAGTTCTTCTCCTGGGTTTCCCTGTGCTGAAGCATTAAGGGTGGGGAGGACTGGTCTAATGGGAATATGGCCCACCAGACTCCCAGCCTTCCTCTTCCCTAAGGCAAGTGAGGCCCTCCAGGATGGGAGCCACTGCCAGTACCTCTCTGGAGCCCTGGAGCTGCCGCCTCGTGGCCACACCAGAGCCAGAAGGGCTGCAGCATGCTCTGGTTCACACCTCCTCTCCTCTGTCTAAACCTTGCACTAAACAGACCTCATCTCTCCTCTGTGGCAGCTGCTGCCAGCCCCTCCTTGTGGGGGGAGCCGCATAACATGAGTGCCTCTCAGAAGGTGCTGAGCAGTAGCATCCATGGTTGAGCATGTGATGGCTGCAGGGCTCAGGGCACCGTCTGAGGTCTTTGCTTACTACTACCCTCTGCGCTCTGATCTCACTTCTCTCCTGGGGCAAATTGACCTGAATTAACCTCTGATCTTCTGGGTGCTCTTGGTTCCTGGCCAGGCTGCCTCCTTGCATCTTCTAACTTTCTCCCTCGCCTCCCGCTTGTCATTTTAGTGTAGCCTCTGCCCTGCACTCCGACAACCATGACCGCTACGAGCGCCTCACCTCTGTCTCCAGCTCTGTGGACTTCGACCAGAGGGACAATGTGAGTAGCAGCAAGAGTCAAACACCTTGCCTTTGAGTGGCCGGGGCCCACAGCTTGTCTGAACCAAGGGCTCTTCAGAAGACACACTATCTGTCCATCCCCAGGCCCTAGGTCCCACACCTTGCAGTGTGTGAGCATGGTATAGAGCTCAGGGAGAGAAAACTACACAGCTTCTAGGCATGTGCTTAAATAAGTAGGCTATACATCCCTGCGGCTTAATGGACATCTGTCCAACCTATCATCTCAGCATTACAAACCATACTTGCCAGCTCCTCCACACACAGCTACTGCTGTTTTCCTCTCTAAAGGGGAGGCACAGTTCAGTAGCATAACAGAGTGTGATGGATGGGTGGTTGAAGCTCTCAGGAAACATTCCTCCCCAGGGGTCCTTTGAGGAACACTGGCTTGGCCCAGCCTGACTTCCCAGTTCCTGCATAGCTCCTCTTGTCTGGGATGATGGCTAAAGTACCTGTATGATGAATTTTCTGCCCTAGGCTGTGGAGTGTTTCCATGCTAGTTAGGAGCCCACGGATTGCCTAGGAGGTTGAGCTGGCAGTTGGTAGGGGACAGCCACATGGCAGAGTCCAGCCTGTGTTGTGCCCGTTGGAGTAGCACTGTCATCTCCTTCACCTTGGCCCATCCATGGCTCTGCATGTCTGGATGCTCATGGTCTGTCCTGCCCTGAACCAAGTCTGTGGAGGTGCAAGGACACTAGCGTGGTCCCCTGAGCCTTTGAAGGAGGGAGCAGAGTTAAGGGAACACAGAGTGATGCAAGACCCTCCTGTCTTCTTTCTGCACAGGGTTTCTGCTCCTGGCTGACAGCCATCTTCAGGATAAAGTAAGTGCCCTAGAACCTGCACGGGGAACCCACATGGGGAAGAAGGAGAAGCAGTGTGGGGTGTTAGGACACCCAGCACAGTACAGCTGTGTGAAGTCACTGCCCTTGCTGCAGCCCCTTCTCTGAAGAACACAAGCAAAGTGTGTCCTCTGGAGAGGACAAGCAAAGACAGGACTAGATGAGTCCGAAAGCCAAAACTGAGGTCACACAGTGAGTCTGTGACAGAGGAAAGCACCTAGCCCAGGTCTCCCCCGCCTCAGTCCCATCTCAGGAACACTGTCTGCTCCTCTACAGAGATGCTCCTCTCCCTGGGGCTCCTGCTAGGGGCACTGCTGTCTGAGGAATGGCTACAAAGGAGGGACTGGAGCATGCAGGGAGACATCCCCAGCCTGATGATGCTCAGGAGTAGTGTCCTAAGCATTTCTTGGCTTCAGAGCGCTGGGGGATAGTGTCAGCCATCCCATATCTCAGCAGGGTAGGCAAGGCCCATCAGAAGAGTACGAGGTAGGTGGGACTTAATATGTATCCAGCTGCCTGTCCTGGCGTGCAGAGGGCAGGGGCACGGGGAGTGGGGCTGCAGTAAACATTGCCCAGGCTGGTTTCTGTCTAGACTGGTTCAAGGCTGGGTTCTGGGCTCCCAACCCTGGGGCCTGGCCACAGCTCTGTAGGGCAGAACCAGATGTGCTGTGTGGGCTCAAACCAGGAGGACAGCCATGACCCTGTGCTTTTCTCCAGCACTTGAGGGAATATAGAAGATTGATGGCCTTTCTCTCCCCGGCAGGGATGACGAGATCCGGGACAAGTGTGGGGGTGATGCGGTGCACTACCTCTCCTTCCAGAGGCACATCATCGGGCTGCTGGTGGCCGTGGGTGTGCTCTCCGTGGGCATCGTGTTACCTGTCAACTTCTCAGGGGACCTGCTAGGTGAGAGCAGGGAGCCTTTGGCTGTACTGGGAGAGGTACTTTCAACACCCTGTCCCAGACTACTGGGGAGCAGTGGAGGGCAGGACAGGACTAACACAGACAAACCCTGGCTGCTGTCCCACTTTGGGTATGGCGCATCCAGAGGGTCATCCTGGGCAGCTTGGGTTTTGGGGTGTTCTGCAGGTAGATTCCTGCCATAGCCCACCCCAGTGGTGCTCTGTGCTACCCAGTATAACCGAACGTGCTTGTGTCTGCCTCTTTTTCCCTAGAAAACAACGCCTACAGCTTTGGGAGGACAACTATTGCTAATCTGAATTCTGGGTATGTGTGGGCAGGGGTGGGATGGATAATTGAGGTTCTGGGGAGTATTTTGTAAATGTCCATTTGTTGGAGAGCCTTGCCTACTTGAAGGCTGAATTTCTGCCCTTGCTGTGAGGCTACTGTCCCTGCTCCAGTTTCCAGGCTGAGCTCCTGGAAGTTGGTTGTAAGGCATGTGGGTGTCATGCCGGTTATGCGGCTCGTGGCCTCACACCTTCAGGGCCAGGCTTGTAGTGGCAACCTTGCATTGACCTTTGTGGTCTCCCTTGTGACAGGAATAACCTGCTGTGGCTGCACACATCTTTCGCCTTCCTGTACCTGCTGCTGACAGTGTACAGCATGCGCCGGCACACCTCCAAGATGCGCTACAAAGAAGATGACTTGGTGAGCAGGATCTGGCCACTCCCAGGCACGCTTTCCCATGCCCTTCTGTCAAGTCAGGTGGCCTTGGAGAGTGCTGAGCACCCCACTTCCCACAGCAATTTGGGGCTATCTTGTTTTGGCTGTTCTTTTATTCTTCCTGGCCGAAGGCAGATCTCCTCCAGGGCAGCAGCCCTGATTGATTGCCTGTGGGGAAGCACAAGAGGCCTGCACTGGGTGAATGTGTGCAAGGGACCCATTGTCTTCCTCAGAGGTTGCTCCAGCTGCTTTTGCCTTCTTCGTTTCTTAAGGGTACCCCCTGTTTCTGTTCAGGCAGCTGCAGTATAAGCCCCTAGCCTGTCAATCTGCAGCACACCAGGTTGCCAACAGCTAGCAGAAGCATAGGAGACAGGAGCCCTGGATGCTAGAAGTGATGAGGCTGCCCTTTCCCATCGCTGACTCAGGCCTTGGGGGTTTTTACTGCAATCTGGTCTTTCACACCATCAACACCTATCTGCCCTCTTCTTTTTTTCTTCCTTTCAGGTTAAGCGAACTCTCTTCATCAATGGGATCTCAAAATATGCTGAGCCAGAGAAGATCAAGAAGCATTTTGAGTGAGTTTCGCTGTGTCCCAAATTAAAGTCTGCTTTGTAACAGGGCTGTTTTTATTGGGGTAGTGCTAGTGTTACCTGGAATGGAAATAATATATTGAGAGCAGAAAACTAGTCAAAATCAGTGGACACTTTTATTTTGGGCATCTCCTTGTCTTTTTTTTTCTGCACAAATTTTTATCTGAATGTATAGTGTCCTTGGTTTTGTGCCTTGGGATATGCCCAGCTATCCCTTGCAGAGCCATAGGGGGTCAGCGTGGTAAGTAGTGGACAGGGCATGTCCTGAGATGTAGTGAAGTTCAGAGAGAAGATGCAGGCAGGAGGCGCTCAAGCAGTGACTATGGAATGTGACGTGGGCAGAAGCAGCAGCACAACAGTCCTCGTATAAAAGTGTGGTTTTCTTTTTAATAAAAAAAAAATCAAATTCCTTTTCCATCAGGACCTCAACAGACTGTCAGGGCCATGTTTAGAAGCACCATGGGGAGAGGAGAAATGCTTTCTACCCTTTGGGAACCCTTCCACTTCTTTCTGACCCCAAGCCCTGTAGCCCATGAAGGCAGAGGGGGGCGTGTGGGGTCAGAGGGGTGCCTTGCTGCCACAGAGCAAAAGTCCAAAAAGGATCCTTGCGCCAGAGCCCAGAAGTATGTAGCATTTGCCCCATGCGTTGCTTCTGCTATAAGGGAAGCTCTTGCTATGTGTCATGACGCTTGGCCCAAGGCAGGAGAGAAGCCCTGGATGCGTGGCCTTTGCTTGAGGGTACAGCCTTTGGTGTCAGGTGTAATGAACTGGTGCTTCCTGCCCGCAGGGAGGCTTATGCCAACTGCACCGTCCTGGAGGCTCGTCCCTGCTATGATGTGGCCCGGCTGATGTTCCTTGACGCGGAGAGGTAACCCCTGGTTTGGGAGAGAGGACAGGGTGTGCAGGGGCTGCGGGCTCCCCCTCGAGTCTGGTGCCACTGGAGCTTTTCTGAGCTGCCCTCTTTCTTCCCTTCTCTTCCAGGAAGAAAGCTGAGCGTGGGCGAATCTACTTCACCAACCTGCAGAGCAAGGAGAACACTCCATCCATGATCAACCCCAAGCCCTGTGGCCACCTGTGCTGCTGTGTCATCAGGGGCTGCGAGGAGGTGGGGGGAGAGCTGGAGGTGGTGGGGCACGTGGGGGCTTGGGTCCCCAGGTCTCTGCTCTGACCCTCTGTCCCCCTGCCCAGGTGGAGGCCATCGAGTACTATACCAAGCTGGAGGAGAAGCTCAAAGATGACTACAAGCGGGAGAAGGAGAAGGTGAACGAAAAGCCTTTGGGGATGGCCTTTGTCACTTTCCACAATGAGACCATCACAGCCATGTGAGTGCAGAGGGTCCTGTCCTGTCCTCCCCAGGAAGGTGACTTGTCCTAGCTCTTGCCTTAAATCAGAGCTATGCCAGCACTAAGGCATCCCGATAAGCTTGTCCCTGCCAGCCCTCTGCGTCAGCATCTCCCTCTTTCTCTTCTTCTCCAGAATCCTCAAAGATTTCAACGCTTGTAAGTGCCAGGGCTGTGCATGCCATGGGGAGCCCAGGGCCTCCTCCTGCAGTGAGTCTCTCCATGTCTCCAACTGGACCGTCAGCTATGCCCCTGACCCACAGAACATCTACTGGTGAGTAGCTCTGTGGGGCTCAGGAGGCCCTGCTGATGGGAAAGGGGTGCTCCCTCCCCATCTGCTCCTCTGGTAACTGAATGAGTTGTTCTCACTGAAGCCCAGCCTGGCTGAGCTAGACGTCTGGTCTGACTTGAAGGAGGAAAGCCTTGGGCTGGTGCCCCAAATGCTTTTCGTGGGGTTGGGCCATGGTGTGAACATGAGGCCCCAGACCTGCCCTTCTCCCCCATGCAGCCATCCTGATCCCCTTCTTCCCCCTCCCAGGGAACACCTCTCCATCCGGGGCTTCATCTGGTGGATCCGCTGCCTCGTGATCAATGTGGTCCTCTTCATCCTCCTCTTCTTCCTCACCACCCCTGCTATCATCATCACCACTATGGACAAGTTCAACGTCACCAAGCCTGTGGAGTACCTCAATGTAAGGCCTGTGGAGACGGGTGCAGGATGGGTAGCAAGGAACCACCCTGAGGCACAACAGCCCCTGCAAGGGAGGGGATAGGGAGAGAGATTGTCAGTGTTCCCCAGGTCCTGTGAGCCTGACCACAAGGGAGGTGCTGAGACTAGCCAGGGCGCAGTGGCAGCTGCAGTGCTGGGGACTCAGCGTCAGCAAAGGCAACTGTATCTATAGCTGGGACCAGAGGTGCCGCATGTATAACACATGGTCTCTTCTCTGCCTCATTGCAGAACCCTATCATCACCCAGTTCTTCCCTACCCTGCTGCTGTGGTGCTTCTCTGCTCTGCTGCCCACCATCGTGTATTACTCTGCCTTCTTTGAAGCGCACTGGACCAGGTAAGGACAGCCAGCACCTGTTCTTAGTCATACCACTGTGCTGCCTGGCCACTAGACACTTCTCACTGATGTAAAGCTCCTGGCTGGATCCTTCTGCTTGAACTTATGTCTTCTGCTCCAAGCATGGTGTTATGTTGCACCTCTTGGACACCTGGGGTCTGCCATGGACAGCTGTTCTGCCAACAATTAGCTGCTGTTGTGCAGCATGGTTGTCTCGAGCAGAGCTTGACGTAGGTCTACAAGAAGAAGAAAGCTGGGAGGAGTTGGGGCTGTGAGAAATGCTAGTAGTGATGAAAGTCTTGGCTCAGGTGAGCAGGCAGGGGTGATGTGCCTGTACCTGTGTGTGTCATAGCTTTTCCAAGGGAAAGTCACCTTAGCTGCTATGGTTTCTGGCCATAGGGAAAATGTTTGAAGTGAAAAGTACTAGAAATGTGCTGCTTGTGAGGCACGTTCCCCACAGGACGTCCGATGAAAGCTTTGTTTTCTGCTCTGTGTTGCAAAGACTGATAGGGAGGATATCGCCAGCACTGAGAATTGCAGGTCAAGAGAGGTGATTATAGAGAATCCCCTAAAGATACAAGGGCTAGGAGGGCCTCTGAGACAAGGGGGAAGGAATTAGGACTCAAGACAGACCTCAGACACACTGGAGGGAAAGGGGGCATATTAACGTACCAGTGGTGGACAGGGCGGCATTCAGATTAGATGCTGGGAAGTGCTTTCTGATGAGAAAGTGGTGGGGGCACCACTCCTGGGGCTGGCAGGGTGACAGTGAAAGGTTAACATCCTCCTCTCTGCCCTCAGGTCTGGAGAGAACAGGACGACCATGCACAAATGTTACACCTTCCTCATCTTCATGGTCTTGCTGCTGCCATCGCTGGGCCTGAGCAGGTAGGGGTGGTAAGAAGGGAAAGCAAGTGCAGAGACCTGGAGCATGTGGAGGTTTGAGATGCACCCCAGTTGTTCTCCTACGCTGCACCCTTTCCCTGCTACACAGGTGCCCTAGCTGCTATCTCCTTGGGAAGGTGGTGGTTGGTCTGGTTGGGGTCACAGGACAGACCATATCTGGCTGGCTCTCTAGGAGCTTATTGAATCAATCTGCAGATGCATTGATATCTGTTATGGTGTTACAAATAATGCAGCAAAAACTGACACAGTTGATGGATGCATGTGAAAAGTCTGCTTGAGGTCTGCTGGTGAAGGAGGCACTCCCCACCTCTGTGCTCAGTGCACACTCTGAATTTTGCTCAAAACTAGTGAATTCCCAGTTTGAGCCAGAACTGAGTATGTTGCACTGCTTGGATGGGTGGGATAGTTATGTGTAGGCTGCAGCAATGCTCATCTGTTTGGATGTGAGCCCCAAATCTTCTTGCAGGTGTTATAGAAATGCCCTGTGGCAAACAATGGTGCATCAGCTGCCAGCCATCAGCATGGGCTCCCAGCGCTGAACAATGACTGACTAGGGAAACAGTGAGGAAGGAAAAACTGGGGGGCAGGTGTGGGACAGGAGATCCTCACTGTGGTAGAGAGTTACTTACATGTTGTAGGATGGGGGTTCTACACGCCCTTAAATTCAGGATACAACCCCTCAGTGGTGAAGTGAGGCAGCTCCTGAGAATAGACAAGTCCTCTGATAGAGGCAGAAAGATGAGTGACTACAGCAATGTTTCCCAGCCAAATTAGAAATGTCTTGTTGCACATAACCTTACAACCTAGGCAGGTGAATGCTCTTGGAACATTTGCATTTTGACCAGATACCATTAAACAGACCATGCTTCCTTCAGAGAACTCAGTCCCTCCTGCTGTTGCCTCTGGAGCTCTGTACTCCACCAGTACCCAAGGTGTCAGAGGATTGGACAGTTTTATATCAAAAAATCAGAATTGAGGAAAATGGGATTTGTTTCTCCTAAGGGATTCTTTTTCTTTTTTTTTTTTTATCTCTGTGTTGGAGGGTACCTTGTACCTAACTAGTTTTTTCTGTAGAGTCAGTCACCTGTTCCTTGTGTGGATGTTGTGCCCAGAGGGGTGAGGAAAATACTGACAGGATCAGGGCAAAGAGAGAACGGCGCACATGAGGGTGGGATGCTTTACATCCCTTTTTGGGTGCTGCACTGTTTTTCCCAGTGTCTGATTTACATAATTGCTGGTGACACATCCCCACACGGAACAAAACACTCTATGGTCAAAGCTTTGGGTCCTTCTATAGCAGCTTCCACATATTTGCCTGTGCATATCTGTCTGTTGCTGCTTCTGATTGTTCCTCTTTTCTTGCCCCCTTCCCCCCCACAGCTTGGATGTGTTTTTCCGCTGGTTGTTTGACAAAAAATTCCTCGCCGAAGCTGCTGTGCGATTTGAGTAAGTGGAGCTGGGCAGAAGGCCCCTCTTTGCAATGGGGGGAGGTTCATATTGGCATCCAAAGGTACCGGGGGCTCCTGGCTGCTGCCCTGCAAGGGGGGAGCATCTCCTGAAGCCTGTTCTTGCTGCATCTCCCCAGGTGTGTGTTCCTGCCAGACAACGGGGCCTTCTTTGTCAACTATGTCATCGCCTCTGCCTTCATCGGGAACGCCATGGACCTGCTGCGCATCCCCGGCTTGCTCATGTACATGATACGCCTCTGCCTGGCCCGCTCGGCCGCCGAACGGAGGAATGTCAAACGAGTATGTAGCGGGGCTGAGGTGGCCTCCACCCAGGCATGGGAGTGCTGCGATTGGGCCCCGATGGGGCTTGCCCGATGCTGTGTGTACATCTGGGTGTGTCACACACCCCTGCTCAGCTCCCGGGGTCGTGCTGATGGGTCTGTGTTCCCTTTTGCAGCACCAGGCCTACGAGTTCCAGTTTGGGGCTGCTTACGCCTGGATGATGTGTGTCTTCACTGTGGTCATGACATACAGCATCACCTGCCCCATCATCGTCCCTTTTGGTAAATGATCCCCCTCTGCCTCTCCGTGTCAGAGGTTGGGGATGGCTCAAGGTGGGGAGGCAAGAAGGGTGGGGGAAGTACTGGGAAAGAGGCTGATTCCTCGCTCTGCTGGCATCCTCCCCTTTTCCCAGGGCTCATGTACATGCTGCTTAAGCACCTGGTGGACCGATACAACCTGTATTATGCTTATCTGCCTGCCAAGCTGGACAAGAAGATCCATTCAGGGGCTGTGAACCAGGTGGTGGCAGCCCCCATCCTCTGTCTCTTCTGGCTTCTCTTCTTTTCCACCATGCGCACAGGTGAGCACTGGGTTGGGATGCCAGCCCCTGGCCTCCTACAGAGCTGCTTCCTGGGCCAGGCTGTGGTCCTGGCAGCCCCCAGCCACAGCGCACGGTCACGGTCCCTCGGACACTGCCACTTTGGTTTTCCTTTGCCCCAGGGTTCCTGGCCCCCACTTCCATGTTCACCTTTGTGGTCCTCGTGATCACCATTGTGATCTGCCTGTGTCACGTCTGCTTTGGGCACTTCAAATACCTCAGCGCTCACAACTACAAGGTGAGGCATAGTACTGGGTGGGGGTGCGGGACCCTTCTCCTTGGGAGCACAGCTCAGCAACAAAACAGTGGGGGCTCTGGGAGGGCCTCAGATTGCTCCCAGGCAGAGTCTATCAACCCTGGCTTCATGGAGGGGACAGTCCCAAGGCTGTTCCTGCTGCCTGTATGCTGCTCCTGTGGTGGGACAGCAAGCGTGTTGCCCTGGCAGTATCTTAATTTTTCCTTTTGTCTCCAGATTGACCATACAGAGGTGGACACCACAGAAAACAGGCAGAACGGGAGACCTGCCACCAGTCTGCCGGCACCCAAATCAGCTGTGAGTCCCTGTCCCCACCTCTGTGTCCCGGCGTGCTCCTTACCTGGGTTTGGGAAGGGGGAGGTGTAACTCCCTGTCCGAGCACCTCACTCCTCACCTCTCTGAGGCAGCAGACATAGTCTCCCAGTGAGGGTGAGAGGCAAGTGTTGAGTGCTGTGCCCCTCGCCTGAGCTGGGTGAAGTGTAGCACCCCACACACACAAAACCCTTTTCCACTGCTCCTCAGACACTGCATGTATTTTCTGCCTCTCAGCTGGGACAGTGAATCCAGCTGGGTCAGTCTCCCTTCCTGTTCTGCATCTTTGCACGCTTGCCTGTCAGCAAGGGCTGTCACCCACTGGGCTGGTCTAGTGACAATGCAGGGGGGTCTCTGTGGGCATTGCCTTGAAGGCCATGAAAGTGCTTTGGGGACTTTCCCCTCCCCTACCCAGCTCTCTGAGATCCCAGAGTCAGTTTTCTGAACCTCTCCTGGGCTCACTGGCTCATTCCAGCTGCTTCCTTCCACCGTGAGATTTTTATTTTTTTTTTAGTTGGGGTCTGTGCAGAGCTGTTCAGGGGTACATGCAGAGATGGGGTAAGGCAGACCCTCCTGCCTCCACCAGCAGAAAAAGGAGCACAGCCTTCCAGTCCACATGGGTTCCAAAGAGCTGAGAAGCCCCATGCTCTCCTAGCCCTGACTTCCTGGGGTTGCTGCCTGTCCCAGGATGCTGGGGTTTGGTACATCCACTGTTGCAGGGCCAAGCCAGCCTTGCTTTTACCCCCTCCCCCAGTACATCCCGTGGAGTCTGGACCCTTCCTCACCCTCCCAGCATATCCCCATGATCAACCTGTTGCATGGCGCTTTGTGTGTTGTCCTCTGCTGCCATGAGAAGCCCCCCAGCCTCACGCGTGTTTCTACTCTCTTCCCCATCCCTCGCCCTCCCCATGCCTGGCCCTGGCAGAAGTACATCGCCCAAGTGCTGCAGGACTCCTCGCCGGAGGGCGAAGCAACAGAGTCGGAGGAGCAGGGGTCGCAGGACGAGGAGCTCATCAATGCGGATGGCATGAATGACACAGATTTCCAGTCGTGTGAGGACAGCCTGATAGAGAACGAGATCCACCAGTAGGGACCTCGGAGGATGGGAGGGGAAGGAGGCCCAGGAGCGGGGCAGGCTGTGAGCATGGAGACCTAGGGAGAGGCACCTGAGGGTGCTGGCCACTGCCCTCGCCCGCCCCCACCGGGGCCGCTGCCTTCAGTGAGGGCAGGGGCCCTGCCACAAGCTCTCCATTTCCCTGCTCCTCCACCCCTGCGCTGGCCCGGCAGCTTGGCGGGCATGCTCTTTACTAGCTACCTTCTTTAACGTGTCCCCAGACCCCAGCACCCTGGGGGCTGGGGAGGAGGGGGACTGTGACCCCAGCGGTGCTGCTCTGGACCTGCAGGGAGGAGGAAGGCTGGGTGCTTTGTGGGGAGGGGGCGCAAGGGGAACCTTTTGGGGTCTTCTCAACAGGCCCCTCTGTCCCCTGTCCTCCTGGCAAGAAATGCTAATAACTTATTAGATTTACAGGAAGGTGATAAAAAGCTTTAGTCAGTGTATTGGAAGCCCCACTTAGGGAGGGGGGTGGCTTTTGTTGCATCTTCTCCCCCTGCCTGCACGTGCCCTTTCTCAACCCCTTGCAGCATCCAGGAGCTGGGCCGGGCACAGGGGCTGGTGGCAGAGGCTTTCCTCTGTTCCCCATGGGGAAGGCGACAGCCTGGCCTTGTGGTCAGGGGTGGCGTCACACTGGGGAAGAGGCGTGCAGGGTTGGCATGAGCTGGGCAGCCCCTTGCAGGGTGAGGGGTGCTGAGGTCATTTCTCATGGGCAGGAGGAGGCGCAGGCAGCCTCTCCCCCAGGTCCTGTCCCCTCTTCCCCCGGGATTGCAGCATCATTTTAGGTGGCATTTCTTTTGCACATTTTACTCCCCTTTCAAACACAAATCAATCTCTGACCCCCGTGTGGTACCATGACCCCCTTTGCTGCCCTGTGGCTGCACAGCAGGGTCAGGCCTGGGGATGAGGGGGCTGTGCTGTGGGGGTCTCCTGGGTGCTAGGGAGAGGGGAGAAAGGGTCAGCATCCCGTGGGGTCAGCACTGCCTGGTTGCGACAGGGCCCCATGAGCTGCCTTCCCTGAGCTGCCACAGGGTCTGCCCCCAGGTGAGGCAATAGGGCAGGGAGGGATTCCTGGGAGAGCAGCCCCTGGGAGCCCTCTCCAAGCAAGCTCACCATCTTCAGGAGCACTAAAACCTCGTGGGGCTGTGCTGGCTTTCTTCACCTGCCCCAGCTGGGTGTAGGCTCCTCCGGCATCACCCAATCTGAGAGGGGGGGGGCTGTTCCTCCCCTATCTCTGCCCCCTCCCTGGTGACAGCTGTATTCCAGAGGTGGTGAGGGGACAAGGATGGGTGGGAGAGGTGGACTGGAACCTCTGGCATCCACAGGGAGGTCTGACCCTGTCTGAAGGCTCTTTGTGAGGAGGCTTCTGGTCAGGATCAGTTGCCCTCAGTTGCTTCCTCCCTCTCCTTGTGTAAAATGTAAAGGAAAAAAAAATCTCCCTGCTCTTGAGCTATATTTATTTCCCTCAACCCCTTGCCACCATCCTGTTTGGTGCTCATTGCAGACACTACCACCCTCCGTTTGCCTGTCATCTGTGGGTGCTGCTCTGGCTTGCTGGGGCCGTGCCTTCCAGAGTCTGATGGGGCTGGGTGGAAGGGGACAGTCATTTACCTTTTCAATCACCTGTGCTGGCCCTGGAGCTCCAAGCACTTTAATAGACCTGAACAAGTGAAGTGTCAGCCCTGCCCAGCTCTGCTCCAGGGAAGGGTGGTCACATCCCATGGCTTTTCTCTCCTTTGCCCCCGTTAGAGGAGGGGAGCCAGAGACATGGAGCAGGCAAGGGGCTGTTCTGGGGAGGACATAGCTGACTTCCTGTACACCTCTCTATAGGAATCCTGGAGATGGAGGAAAGGGGGGACAGAGGGGAAGAGATGTGGGTCTTTGATGCACGGGGAGGGCAGGCCACCCTGGCTCCCAGGGCTCGTGTGGGTGCGGGGGGGGGGCACAGTGAGCATCACCTGTCCCCTCCAGGGATGGGCTAGAAATGAAATGAGCATGTGAGCTGAGAGCTCCCAGTCTGCTCCCAGCCTGGGGTGAGGAGGATGTTGATCCTGCTTCCCTGTTCTTGCACCCACCTACTGCCCTTGTCCCCAGTCCAGCAGGCGGGCTGGGATGCTCCAGTCTCTGTAGGTATGGCTGGGGGGCTCGG